CATATTCTCTGAAGTAATATTAGCAGATACCCTTTTCTCAGCGCCTTAGTCTGCCCCTCCTTTGCCCAGGATGTCCAGTGGTGGCTTGTCTACAACATCGCCCCAAGTAGCTGTCACCATCTACAGTGCATCAGTGCTAGGAATGGGGAAGCTCTCGACAGCAGCTAACTCAGCTGGGCATCAGGGTCTCCGTCAGCAGCAGGGACCCCACAGGACACTGAGCATTTTCCTTGAGCAGCTCTTGAACAGATTCAGATACAGCCCTGTGAGTCAGTCATTCGCTGAGAACTAACAAATTCTGTCCACCTGCTCTAGCAGAAGACTTCAGGCTCCTAAATGTATACTCCATGAGAAGTGCTCACTCCTTCACTCTGGTCACCAGGCCTTCTCCTCTCTTCAGTACCCCAGAGTACGCAGGTTCTTCTTTGCAGTTTATTTCTTGGGTGAAAATGTTTTGCAGCATTAATTTCATCTTCTGTGCCTTACTCAACAATAATTTACACATGGCTTATTAACAGGTGATAATCTGGCTTGTTGCTGTGAAAGTGGATTCAGCAAGCACACAACTACATACACTGTGTCTATTTGGAAATGGAGGGCAAAGGCCCATTTTCAAACCAAGGTGCAGCCTCTAACTAGAAGGAAAACAGACCCAACTTCTTCCAGTCAGAGAAAAAGTATGGGGAGGAAAGTGTGATAGAGTTAAAAGTCACTGAAGAAAAGTTTAAATCTGGCTTCCAGTATGGGATTACCCATATTTTATAGGACTTGTGCTGTGTTGGGCAGGCTGCTGTGCCTCCCAGGAAGAAAGGGCTGAATCACTTAACCAAGGATTCTTTGAAAGAACCCTTTTAAAAAGATTGGATTTTGTTTTCTTCGGGGTTGGTGGGGAGGTGTGAAACAACTTTAATGAGGAGAGTTGAGAGGGCTGGGAGGCCAGCCCTATATCCTCCCTATATCCTCAGCCCTCCCTATAAACTCAGCCCAGCCAAACTACCCAGCTTTACACTCCCTGAATGATATTTTAATAGACATGATACTCTTTACCCAAACCTAATTACTATAGATTTCTGTAAAGAAGACAAGGAAAGTAAAAGTTTTTTTTTTTTTAAAAGATTTATTTGTATTTATTTATACAAGCACTGGGTACAGTCAGAAGCGTGGGAGGGTGAGAGAATTCACCAGAGCCAGAGCAGGGAGCAGAGCAGGCAGAAGGACCGAAGTACACTGCTGAGGGGAGCAGCGGGCGGCAGGAGAGGTCTGCGAGCCATGTGGGACCCTCCTCCAGTGGGCGGGGAGCAGCCGGGAATCGAACCGGCACTGCAGAGGCTGCGGGCAGCTTCGCAACCCAGTGCTCAACCACTGCGCCACCGGGGAGGCCCTGAAAGTAAAAGTTTTTAATGGGAAATCGTATCCGAAGCAATGAGTATAGTGTTAAAACCCTCATACTTCTGTTTGTCTCCTTCTACTGATCATTTAATGTTCTAGATACTAAGAGTTTAATAGTATACTTCCCAGCCATCTCTTGGAACTTATGTGGGGTTGCCAGAAGGGATTTCCAGTGGTGTATTAAACATGTTTCGTTAACTTATGTCTTGTTCCCTGAAAGGAAGAAAATTGCTTAATCCCGTATAAAATGTAAATGCTATTAACACCCAAAGATATCTGAGGGTAAAGGAACTCTGGTTGGTAGCAGTCTTTATTAATTCACTTAGCAGACTCTAAATGTGTTCCTGCGACCTGGACTCTGTGCTAGGCTCATATGCCTATGGTGGGTGACCCCCTCCCTATGTCCCTACTGCTGCCTCTGCTGGTTGTGAATTAGTGGACACTCCTTTCCGCTGCATTATAAGTCCTTATTGACTTTCTTCTCATCCCTTTGGCTCAATCTTTATTAGATTTGCAAGGACAATGAAATTGGCTAAAGCAGTCTTTTCAAAATCAAGATCTATTATTTTCATTTTAAAAAATCATTCAAGTTTGCATTTCATGAATGCATTTTAATAAATAAGAACTACTTAGTTCTCATAATTTGGTTTTATCCTCTGCAGATGAATTTTCTCCTAGTGCTTATTCTGGTGGGAAACAAAAATTCTTTGTTCCAAGAGTAAGATAGATGGCTCTGCTTTTCTGGAAACTTAGGTCACATCTTACTTTTTCTTCAAATGTCTAATTTCACTATTTTTCAACAATACCCTTATTGATTATCTGTCTGTGATTTGCCAGTATATCTAGATGATTTAGACAGTGCTTCACTTTTTTTTTGTTTATTTATTTACATATTTTTACATTGTTGTTCATTTTTGTACAGTGTTTGATTTCTCTCATGTGTTGTCCCCATGAAATTATCACCACCAAGATACCCATGAACTATCACCATAGATTCTTGTGCTCTTCTCTCCTGTTTTTATTCCTTTACCTCCCCTTCCCCTGATGAATGTCTTCAATTTAAAGTTTGACTGCTGGTTTTGTCTTTTTTTTTCTGGTCCCTTCTATAGTTTCTATGTTCCTCCTATAAGTGAAACCATCCAATATATTTCTTTTTCCTTCTGACTTACTTCACTGAGTATAATCCCTTCTAGCTCCATCCATGTTGCTATGAATGGTATACATTTATCTTTTTTAATTGCTGAGTAGTATTGTGTTCATACAGATTGTGTATGCATACCACATCTTAAGTGCTTCACATTCTAAAGAAATCAGACCATAACAATCAGTCCCTATTTAAAAGTCCTCACTGGCTTCTCATTCCTTCCAAAATCAATTCTAAAAATCTGCTATTGGGACCCTGAATGACCTTGGTCTACCAACTTCACAACTGGTTCACCTGCCTTTTCTATATGTCTGTCTGGCCCATGCCCCGCTGCAGCGTACTGGGTAAGCCATGCCTCCATCCCCATCTATAGTCTTTCCTTACATTCCTTCTTTCATGCAGCCTTCCCTGACCCTGCATCAGCCTGGAAGAGCTCTCTTCTGCATCTCTCAAGGATCATTTCCATTTCTCAATATAGCACTTAATTCATGATTTTTTTTAATAAACCTTTTAGAGCAGGTTTAGACTTACAGCAAAAATAAGCAGAAGGTATAAAAGTTTCTCACATATTCTCTGCCTCCACACATGAATAAACTTTCCCCATCAACATCTCCCACCATAGTAGTACATTTGTTATAATAGACAAATCTACTTTGACACTATATAATCACCCAAAGTTCATGGTTTACATTAGGGTTCACAATTGGTGTTCTTCTGTTGAACATGTATCCATCATTACAATATCATGTGAAGTAGTTTCACTGACTTGAAAATCCTTTGCCTGTTAATCCTTCCCTCCTCAACACCTGGGAACCACTGATATTTTTACTGTCTTCGTAGTTTTGCCTATTCTAGCATGTCATATAGTTGGACTCGCACGGTACATAGCCTTTTTAGGTTGACTTCTTTCACTTAGTGAAAGTCATTTAAGTTTCCTCCATGATGTTTTCATGACTTGATAGCCTATTTCTTTTAGCACTGAAAAATATTGCATTTCTAGATGTACCATTTTGTCCACTCAGCTATTGAAGGACATCTTGGTTGCTTTCAAGTTTGGTCAAGTATGAATAAAGCTACTGTAAACATCTCTGCTGGTTTTTGTGTTGACATAAGTTTTCAACTCATCTGGATAAACACTGAAAAGAGTGGTTTCTGAATAGTATGATAAGATTATGTTTAAAATCGGTAAAAAAAACCACCGAACTGTCTTCCAAAATGACTATTGCATTTTGCATTCCCACCAGCAATAATGAACATTCCAATCCATATTCTTATTCTATAGTCTTGCTATAATTTAGTGTTGTTAGTGTTCTGGATTTTGGCCACTATCATAGATGCATAATGGTCTTTCATTGTTTTTATAATTTGTGTTTCCCTAATACCATATAGTGTGGGACATCTTGCATATGCTTATTTTTCATCTGTTTGTGGTGAGGTATCTGCTAAGGTCTTTGACCCTTTTTTTTTATTTGGGTTGTTTGTGTTCTTATTGTTGAGCTTTAAGAGTTCTTTGTTAATTTTGGATAACAGTCCGTACTTTATCAGAAATGTCTTTTGCAAATATTTTCTCCCATATTTCTTATTTTTACACATTATTTATCTGATTTCCAACCAAACTGTGGAGTTCATGAAAGTAGGGCTTGTAGCTTTCACCTTTATGTTTTTTGTTGCTACATTAAATAGCATTGTGTTTATATTTGTTTGTTAACTAAACTAAATTAATCACAAATATTGGAGTCAAAAGGAAATTTAAAAATGAGATAAATCACATAGAGGAGATATTAACAAACCAATACAGATATTTACCTTTTTATCAAAAAAATAGAAACTAAAATAAGAAATTTCATTATATTTATAAAGAAAGTAGGTATTGGATGTGACATCAGCATGTAGTGCAGTGAAGAAATGGTGACTGAAACAGAACCTTTGTGAGAAACCTTTCAGAGGGTGTTCCTACATCTCGAAGACTTACACTCTTGACAGAGTAATTCTGTTTCTAGGAATCTTTCCTGAGAAAAGGGTCTCAAATCAGAAAAGGCCTATGTATAAAGATATTCACTGCCTCAGCACTAAAACTATTTGAACCTTAATGTCTGCTGTGGAGAAAGGTTGAGGGATCCGTGACATATCACCTGAATGGAATATCAGTAAGATAGATAATCTTTTCAACAGCTATACAGCAACTTAAAGGCAGAACAAGACATTGCACTGAAAAAGACAAGATCTGGCAAATATGATAATACTCAATTAGGCAGTAATGCCAGCAAGTTTTAAAACTTACTTTTTATTGCTTTAATTTTGTTTGTGTAATAAATGGGAGTTATAAAATGCTTTGGACCATTTATATAAATTCATGAATAAGAAAAATATCTGAGACACCTCATTTTACCATTGGTGTCCTGAGGGGCAAAGAGAAGTGAGAGGACAGACCTATCTGAGACTCCAACTTTGCTTCCCTTGGGCCCAGGGACTGTAGTTGGCGTGGATGAGAGCACTGCTTTCTCGTGGCCTACATGTGACCTGTGTGGCAATGGAAGATTGGAGCAGAGACCAGAAGACAGGTAAGGGGGCAGCGCCTAGCCCAAAAGAGCACAGGGTAGCAGCACCCCTGCAGTCCGATCTCTAGTGCTTTCTATCTCAGACCTGCTGCCCCTGCACAGAACCAGGCCTGAGTGCCACGTGGGGAAGGAAGTCTGCTGGCTTCAGGGGAGAGGTTGTGGTGCATGGTATGTTTGTTTTCTTTTTTCGCAATAGGACTTTTGCTGTTCCTTATAGCTCCTCCTGTCTTAGTACAGTTTTTCCCTCAGCTCCTTTATCAGCCTGGAGAAAAAAAAAAAAAAACTCAGCAAATCTGAAGAAGTAAGACAAATTGTACAGCCTGTCTGTTGCTGGATGCAGACTTTTCCAGAGGCCAATTAGCAGACACTCTTCCCTGCCCAGTGCCACTGCAGCCCTCCTTGGGCCCGGGGTGAGAGCCAGGTGTCCAGGTAGTTCTCCAATCCAGTTCTCTGGCCTCCCAAGTTGACTTTGTCATATGACAGATAAAAAGCAGAATTCTATTTGTACTTCTGTATCCTAAGAAACAAAGGGCAAGTGTCTTCTTGACACCTCCTAGACAGTAACCTTCTATATAAACACGTCACCCATGAGTCATATTTAAGAGAAAAGAGTATGCATCTCAGGTTTACTTGGCAGAGTAAGGAGCACCAATAACAGCTGATTAGAAGCTGGTTTTCCTGCCCATGCAGATGGGAAACCCTGATATTCCCTTGCCCTGCAGAGGGCCTCACTGTGCTTCACGAATGTTTGCTATCATCCTCTGTGCTCAGAATGAATGACCCTGAGGGTCCCTTCCATCCTCAGTGGCATCACATGTCCATGCAGCCCTTTACTGACATTTATCCCTCAGAACAGACTGAACCCCACTCTGGCAAATTTCAGGAACTTGGTTTCTGAAAACCACACACACACACACACACACACACACACACACACACACACCCCTTTTCTATCTCAGCCAATAGTAGCTTTTAGAAAAATATCTATATACTGCTAGCTTCTTCTGACTTGCACCTTTTTGGATCTTGTCTTCCCTGTATGTTTGCAAACAACAGTGGCACTTTTTTCTGTGGGAATTGCTCCCGTGTGGTCACCTCCCCTCTTCTCAGAAGGCACCTGCAGGTTTTCCTGGACTGCCCCTCTCGACCGCAGTGCACTGTGAGGGTTAAGGTATGAGCTGGTTGGGGCTCGGGAGATGCCTGACTCATTGGCTGGGAGAAAGTTGCAATTATTGCTCTTTCCTTGGGAATGGGGAGAGGACTCACTCTCAGGAAACAATCATTCCATGTCTGTGGTTTAAGCCCTAAGTGTGACTTAAAGATTTGAGATCTAAGCTAACAAGAAGACAGGGGAGTTAAAAATCCAACATATTAACTTTCAGGACTTGAGTACTTTCAGTACAAGCATTTGCTCCCAGAGCAGGATTTGACCCAGCTATTTCACTGTTGTTGCAGCTGTTACAGAGCAGTATTTCTTCACTCCTGAGGTTTGCCGCCTGCGAGGATGGGGTAAGTCCAGGGATGTGTCCCTTGTGCTCTGAAACCAAGTTAACCTCACCCCCAGATACCTGTGCACTTTCAGTTACAACAGAGTCCAACAGTGTAACTATGTGCATGCTTATTGTTTAGACCAAGCTCATTGTCACTTGCTACCAAATGCACATGTCTGCTAATGAGATCCTTTCCTTTTTGGAATTGAGGTTATTTCCTAATCACCCTCAGAGTAGATCCATGAATTTGCCCCCGTAGCATGGATTATTGTGAGAGACTCTTGAGATTGCAAGTCCTAAGGCCACATTCATAGAATAGGAATCTTTTTGTTTAATTGCTGGTCTGAGTAACTGGAAACTTCATTGTTATTTCTCAGAACTAGTTTGCCTGCCTTGACATTACTATGATGAGGGTTAACAAAGTGATGTGGGCCTCTGGGAAAACAATAAATTGATACAACTTAAGACCAAAAAAAAGTTTCCTCTTTGTGAAATGTGGCCCTCATAAAGAGAGAGGCTGTCCTTGAGATGACACCTCTGTCTTGTCAAAGCCATTCAGAAGCACCACAGTGGTCCATGGAATCACTGAACCCCAGAGAAGGACACAGGGTGGTGCCATGCATGGCCCCCACATCACAGTGTTGAGGTCCATGTCCAGAAAGCTGATGCAGACTGGATTGTGGGGTTGTGGTGAAAAGTGATCATCTGCAGAACTTTCTGAGGGTTCCCATGGCCAAATTCCAGCTCTGATTCCAGCCAGAATTTGAGACTGATTTGATCCATCCTATGGGAGCCTCTCATCCTGTAATTGCCCACTCTAGCCCTATCCCTCCACCTCCCATACTCAAGCAGGGGCTAGCAGCACCAGGAGGTAAAGCAGCCATCTGCACTCTCATCCAAACCTTGGCTGTCAAAGCTTAGATTCAACTGGGATGTGGATAGACCTGTGAACACAGTCTGTGAGGAAGAGTGGTCTGAGTCTGATTCCCAGTTCTGACTTCAGAGTAGAATTGCCTCGGAGCTCTAGAAAATGTCTGACTCCCTCAGGGTAAAGCTCAACAGCCTAGGCTTGGCACTTTAAAGCTCCTCAGTGACATCCCTGCCCCTAGCACCAAACCTTCATCTTGGGGGCTGCTGTGCAAACAGGGTTCGTTGTTTATACTAGGCTTTCAGAGGATTTGTAAACAAGGAGTCCCTGATTGTGTAAAAGTACAATGTAAATAATTATAATGGACCAAAAGCTGTGCTCCCTGCTTCTTTTCTCATGTGTTGCCTCATTTATCTCCTTGACATCCCAGTGGATCAGAATCCACATTATACTGCAGAAAAAACAAGATCACAGACCTTACGCATTGTCTGTGTTGGATGCAGAGACATTCCACAAAGGGGAAGTCAGTGTCATTCCACCGGCGACCACCTAGTAGAGTTGGTAGCCAGCCCAGAGTACTGTCTCTGTTCTATGTGTTTAGTGGGTATGAGATAGGTCCCTGCTAATTCCTTGTCACCTCATTACTGCACCTTGGGAGAGGGAGGAAGAAAGAAAGAAGGGCATGGCACTCCCTGTGGTTCATGGCCTGGTGGTTCCGAGGTGCAGGGCTTTAAACAGGTGTCAAGATGCTGGATCTGGGTTATCAACATTTCTGTGGAGAATGCTGGGGAAAAGCCTTGGGAAAACTCCTCCTTAAGAAGAATGCATAGAAAAATGAACCAAAACCCACAATCTAAACCAGCAGCAAGTGGGGAAGCCTCCTTGCTCTGCTGTCATGCCCACTGCACAGAGGCACTTGCCCGAGGCTGCTGGGCCTGATCTCCCACAGGGCTTTGTAGGTTCCCAGGAAAGTGTCCTAGTACTTCCTCTAAGAAACTTCCAACCACAGACAGTCCTTAACCACGTGAGTCTTGTTACAGACCTGGCAGAGGCCGTGGCAGAAATCCTCCTCATCTCACTTGATTTCCTTCTAACATTAAACTTCCACATATTAAACTTCTCAACTATAGTCTTCCTGTAGGCAAAACCCTACTTAAATAGAGTTCAGAGGCATGTGTGAGAATGTATGTCTGTGTGTTTGTACTTGAGTGTAGGTGTTGCTCGTGTGTGCTGGGTGTGTGGCATGTTTGGCTATCACCCCTGTGGTACTCTGTTGCCACAGCTGACCAGTAAAATGAGAGAAAATAGAAGCCTGGAGGTACATTCACTCAGTTCCTTCCCCTACCCCCAGCTTTACTCAGGATAATTAAGTCTATACATCTGGACTGGAAAAGAAGTGCTAGACAATGGTATACCAAAGGCTTGTGTGTAGACATCAGGCACACGTTTTTCTAGGCGGGATTTATCCATACTCACCAAAATCTGAAGACTTTGCACAAGAACCATAATTCTATTCCCTGGAATAAATGTACTGTTTCTGGTCAGGATATGAATATTAACTTTTATGATGTCATTCTAATGTGGTCAGACTACAGTGTGGAAGTGGTGAGACTGACTGCCATTATATATGTCACTTCTCAGAGCTAACATTACAGTGACATGATGTGCTTTTTAAAACTAGGGACACATTTTATACACATGCACATGCACACACACACTCCTATAACCAGCATAGATGACTTTGCTGGTGTGGCTGTTTTAACCTCTCTGTGTTATTTTTCCCCAAATACTGGGTTATCAGATAAGTCATGATGTATTTTTTCTGTTTTCCAAGCTAAAATGTGTCATGACTTTTCCAGCAACCCCAATATATGCTATTTGTGATTTTACTTTCATGATAAATGGACAGTCGCTATAGAAGACTGTTAACTGCCAACCCTGAAAGTAGGGTTCTGTTTTTCATTTTTTGAAAGAAATGACTTTTGCTAACTTTCTTCAAGTCAGAATTTGGTACTTTTACCTCAATGAGTATAGGGATCCCTGGGCGGTTCATTCCATGCACACAACATTCAAAGCCAGCTACATGGAAAGATAGAGCTAAGAAGCATCTAGCTGGCCCATCTCGATCACCCAGCCCTGTTGTTGACCCCTCCCTCTTTACCACCTCATACTCTCCCCAGCCTGTGGCCTGCAGTGTCAGCCCCTGGTGGACTCATAGCAAGTTCCAGTAAATGTTGGAAGGAGTGGGCAGCAAACTTGATGCCCACTTCACTTGTGGGTCGAGCTGTAGGGAAGTCTCAGTCCTCCATCACTCCATTAAACACTCTTCTGACCTTATCATTTTACTGAAGCCAAAAATGCACAAACCATTTGGCCAGTGCAGGTATTTCACACTGTGCCTGTCTTACCGATGGGTAAACAAGTTGGCAGTACAATGGTATTCACATCCCACATTGAACCTGATACTTGCTGCTTCAGAACAAACCATCTAAAAGATGTGGCTTCTACACCACAGCCTGGTATAAACCAGACCTGCAGTTCAGTCAGGGCTCTGCTCATCCCTGCCCTACTTGGGTATCAGCCGGTACCTACAGGTTGGACGGGAGACGCCTTTCTGCAACCCATGGCTCTGCTCCTGCTGGCTGGGAGCTTTCTGGCTTGTAGCCAGATCCCCACACAGTCTGGACCCCCTCCCAACAAGTGTTCCAGAGATGCAGAAAGAGGCCAGGTACCTTCCTAACCACAGTTGGGAGGTCAGTGTCCCTCTGTTCATAAGAAGTCACTGCACTCTGTTCATAAGAAGTCACCACATCCAGCCAGATTTGCAGTCTGGAGCTCTGCTTCACCCTGCTGTCTGGCCCCACCAACCTCAGGCTCTTCAGTCTGTTGATGGCAAGAGTGAGTTAATGACAACTGAACAGAGCTATTGTGGAGATTTTTCAAGTGTTCTGTATGGAGGAGGGATGATTGGCAGCTCTGAATATTACTCTCCAAGTATCAGCAAAGGAGTTTCTGAAAGATTACCTTCTGGGGCTCAGTCCTTAAGCCAGACATGTATGTATGCCTATGCTTTGCAGCTCTTTGTTTTCAGCCACCTCAGGAAGAAAAGGTTGTAAGATTTCATCTAGAGAAGCCAGACAAGGCCACCACATCTTTCTAGTCTGAGCCACCCCCAGTTCCCCATGTTCTCATTTAGACATGAAACGTGGCCTGAGATTAACCAATAACCATCATAGCCATCACACAGAATGTGAAGAGAAAGCTTTCTATTACACAGCAGTGTCTAGTTCAGTGTAACTCTAGAAGAAACGGTACCCTATTAAGGAGGGAAGTTTGGGGCAAAGTACCAGGAAATTCTTTGACCGGAAGTGTTGCTAGATTGGGGAAGTGTCCCAAAGGAAGTGGGACACAGCCACAAGCATGCACTGCCCCTCCCTCCCCCTTACCCCCCTCCCCCCACCCAGTTAGAAAACAGGACAGAATCCTTTGTATGTCTTTTCTCCAAGTTGTTCTTCTCAGGCTGTCAGCTGGGAGCTGCTTATTGTTGCATCCACTAATAAATATCAACTTAAATGTTTAAATGTTCCTTGCATGGGAACATAATTCAGTTATCAGGAAAAAAGTGGTTCCTTCATTTGCCATGAGAAATAGGCTTTTAGAGCAGCCCTTCACTTTCCTCCTCCTTTACCAATGTTGTCTGCACCATTTGAAGGGTAGAAGGTGGCAGACTTGGAGAATGGGCCCTCTCTGTTCTGTGTGTTGGAAACAGAATGTCCAGAGCTAACTCTATTTGCTTTAACCAGCATGTCTTTTATCACTGCAGACTTATGAAGTAAAGAGTATCCTCGGAACAGAGGTGGAGTTCTTAAATTGTTTTGTCCAGTCCATAACTACCCACCCTGCTAGCTGTGCTGGACTGGAGGAAATCGAGCTTCTGAGAGCAGGAAGAGCCTGTGTGGAACACCGCCCATTGCCGTAGGGACTCTGTGACGTGGCTGCTGGGGTGGTGGTGGTGGTGTACCCTTTGGGGTAGTTATTTGTTAACTATAGCAGAGTGAATGTAGTTTATGATCTTGAAATGGAACTTAGATTTTTCTGGGGCAAATGTTAGTAACAGGGCTTTGTAAACTATAAATCAAAATACCTTTTTCTAGGTTCTGTATTTTTTATTCTTTCTGCAACTTTAGGAACACGGTATTAAAGCCTAAATAAGCTTGAAGTCCCTTCATATTGTATTTATTTTAAACAACAAGATTAATATAGCAGAAAGAAATCTTGATTGTAAAGTGTTTAAAATTTTGCCATGATTTAACATGTTTTTCTTATAGTATGTTTTTAACTTTCTCCCCAAAGCTTAAACCTTTATCCTATTTTGTGATGTTACTGTTCTGCTACAATAAATGTCCATCTAAGTGCTTTGCTTTGCAGTTCGGTGTTTTTGGGAAAATGTTCTGGGGAATTATGTCAAAGGTAAAACTGTTACCCATAAAATGTAGATAAGTTAACCCGCGTGATTAGTTATACTATACGGAGATAGAGTTCCCTCTAGCAAGGCCTATGTAAACAGGCTGGGTACTGTGCAGAGAACCAAGATTACAGACTCAGGAGGGGTGACTGGTTATTGTTTGCTCTGTTGGCAGAGATTAAATTGCAACTAAAACCATGAATTAATTATCTTTGGACACTAGAGATTTTGTGTTTCCTTCCTTACAACAATATAATCATGACAGGCCACGGTTAATTATTTACATAATACAGACTTAGTAGCCAGACCAAGGGAAGGTGCTTCGTACCCACTTTTATTGGGGGAAAGGCAGAAGTTTTATTTGTCCATATTAAGCTTTGCAATAGTACAATTACTGGCAAGGTGGCTCATTTTCAGGAGCTTTTTAACTGTCCTTTTTGTCTACTATATCTTTTGTTGTATTTGTGCACATTTTGAAAATCCACGCGAAGAATTCCTACGCCTGAGGAAAGTGAAAGCAAAGTCCCATGAAAGCTAGAGATGATTCAAACAAACTGTTCGGATAACCCTGCCCTCTACCCTCTACCTCCTCCTGCAGCCAACAAAAGTTAGGGGGTTCTTGGGCTGTTCTCTAGAGGGCCCTCAAGTCAGCTGCAGGGGCGGTCCGCCAGCCCCTCGTCTGGCACCTTCCAAAGGAAAGCTGCCCAGCTGAACATCAGCTTAGTCATGCTTCACCCATCTCAGGCAAGTAACAACATTAGGAGGTAGACTTTGGCATGTTTCAAAACAAAGCAGACCCTCTCTTCTAAGAACTTGGTTTCCCCTTGGAAAAACACGCCTGGGTCCAGCAGCTCCCCGGTGCCACGCTGTACCCGCCGTGATGCTGGACTGGACCCTTCCCCTTGGGGCCACCGGCTTGCGAGGTCACTGTCAATACAGGAATCGGGGTGGGTGGTTTTAAATGCTTCTTTATTCTTACAAATACTGTAAAAATTAATATAAAAAAGTGAGCATGCTCAGTCTTTTCCTCTTATCTACAATACAAAGGATTGTTCTGAAAGTCATTTTCCTTTTACAAATGTACCTTAGCTGCATCAACAGGAGTAAGATGTAGAAAAAGCTACCATTATAAAAATAATTTAAGGGAAAATAAACACATCTGAGTTCTCTCGACGTTCAGGGGCGGCGAGTCCAAGCGGTGTTCTCCCTGCTCTCACCCGTCCCAGAGGAGCCGCGGCCGCGGGGCGCGGTCTCCGGCCTCCAGCGGGGCGCTCGGCTCCTGGCCGTCGGGGCTGAGGTATTGGTCGTTCGAGTCTCACGGGCTGCGCGTTACCGGCAGTCGGGCGCCCCGGCGGCGGGCAGGAAGGGCGGGCTGGGCAGCTGCTTGAAGAACTGCCGGAGGCCGGCGAGGTCCCGCGTGAGCTGCTCCACGCGCTGGTGCAGCTTCTCGTTCTCGGCCGACAGCTCCACCAGCTTCTGCTGCATCTCCTGGTTGCGCCGCTTGGCCTTGTCGCGGCTCTTGCGCACCGCGATGTTGTTGCGCTCCCGCCGCTGCCGGTACTCGGGGCTGCCGCGGTCCGGGCCCCTCTTGCCGGCGCCCTTCTCCCGCGCGGGGCCGGGCGCGGGGCCGGGTCCCGGGCTGCCGCGAGGGGGCTCCGGCGACGCGGGCGGCGTGGGCTGCGCGGCGGCCGCCAGGCTCACCACGGTCTGCGCGCACGCGGCCACCTGCGCGGGCAGCAGCGAGCCGGGCGCGTCGCCGTCGCTCCAGTCGGGCTCGCGCTTGAGCGGGCGCGGGGCGGCGGGGCCCGGCCCCGGAGGGCGCGCGAGGCCGCCCGGCAGCAGCTCCGGGGAGCCCGCGCCGGCGCCCGCCGCGCCCGCCTTGTGGTTGCTGTTGAAGAGGTCGGCGAAGAGCTCGTCGTGGCACAGCTCCAGCGTGGGCACGGCGGCCATGGAGTCGATGTAGGCGCTGAAGTCGATGGCGCTCTCGTCGTCGTACATGGCGGGGCCGGCGGCGCCCGGCTCTGCCCCGCGGCCGGCCTTGCCCGCGCGGCCCGGCTCGTAGAAGTGGGCCGGCTCCGCCGTCCAGGGCGCGCCGCGCGTCGGGCCGTCCAGGCTGAAGAGCGCGGCGCTCATGGCGACGTCGGGCCGGGCTCTCGTCCCCGCGCCGCCGGCCCCGCCGCCTTTTCTAGCCCCGGCTGACGCGCACGCCCCGCCCCCGCGCCGGCTCCGCGGGGGCGCCCGGCCGCGGGGGGAGGGGGCGCTCGGGGACTCGCGCCCCGCCCCGGAGCACCCCGTCGGGTCCCCGGCGGCGCCCGCACCCTCTCCCCGCGCCCCACTCGGGACTGCCGCCCGGACCCCCGAGCCGCCGCGGGGCAGGGGCGTCCTCCGCCCCCCGCCCGCCCCGGCCGCTCTGCTGGGAATGACCCTCCCCTGCCCGCGCGCCGCTCCTCCGCGCTTCCTGTTTGTGGGTTGGAGCCTCCGCGCCCCTCGCCGCCCGCAGGGAAATCAAAACCAGGACTTGGCCGCGCGCGCGTGTCCCGCGCCGGCTCCCGCCGCCGGAGGGAGGAGGGGAGCCGGGGAGGGCGACTCCGGGCCGGAGGACAGACGTGGGGAGCCGGCCGGGGGCGGAGAGCCCGGCGCGGGAGCGGGAGGCCGAGCCCTGGGAAGTTCTCCGGACAGATTGTGCCGCGAGCGCCCGGCAGCCGAGGCGCGGAGCCGCGCAGCCCCCGGCCTCGCTCGCCCCCACCCGGCGCGGACGCGCAGGTGTCGGGGAATTCGGGCCTGTCCCCGCACCGCGCCGCGGGCCCCGCTGAGGGCCGCGGGCCGGAACGCGCGAGGCCGGGCGGGGTCCGCGGCTGCTGTCCAGGCGGGCGCCGCACCAGGGCAGGGGGAAGCGGCGCCGGGTCCCCCGCGCGTCTCCGCGCTCGCTGAAGCAGTGCCGCCTGGCGGCCGCAGCTGCCGCGCGCTCCCGTGCCGGGCCCTTTTAATTCTGGTGTGTCTTTCACAGTGAAGTTCTTTTGAATCTAAACAGTTGAGTCCTCTTAGAAGAAAGATGTTTCTACTAGTAGCTTTGATAGTTACTAGCTCACGCTTTAAAAAATGCACGAACAGACTCTATTGATTTGCTTTATTATGTTTCCTGCAATTTGCATTCTGATTCATAATATTTATTAAATCACGGCCCTTGGGGCCTCTCCGGTCGCGCAGCGGTTGAGCGCTGGGCTGCAAAGCTGCCCTCAGCCTCCACAGCACCGGTTCGATCCCCCGGCCGCCTGCGATGGTCCCACATGGCGCACAGACCACTCCTGCTGTGCCTGCTGCTCCCCTCAGCAGTGTACTTCGTCAGTCTGCCTGTTCTGCTCCCAGCTCTGGCTCTGGTGAATTCTCTCACCCTCCCGCGCTTCTGACTGTACCCAGTGCTTGCATAAATAAAATAAATCTTTTTTAAAAAAAATCACGGTCCTTATTCAGACTTCATCTCACGACTGTTCATAGCTTTGGCTTCTCTTTCACCAGAGGTTGGGGCCAAACACCAAATGGTCCACAAACTGCCACTTGCATTTCTGCAGTCAGTTCCAGAGGTAGAACTGGTATATAGAGCACCTAGTGATAGGCTATAGGTTATTTAATAGAATTTCTATACTATTACTTTAAAGTTACTCAGAGAAGAAATTTGAACTTGACATTGCCTACTGATTAATTATCTATCTATTAATTATCTAATGTTAAAACCTAGGAATACATATAGTGTGGTTTATGCACACCCAGAGAAAAGGCTTGGGACAAATTTGCCAATTTAGGCATAAAAACACTACCAAAGCCCTTTCCAACCAACTATGACAGGTAAAATTAATATTTATATAGAAGCATCATAGTCTTCATAAATATTTCAGTGAGATGATTAATGGTTTCATATATCAGAGATATTTATTAAAATTGCATTTACAAGACAATGTTGCTGTTTGAAAAGAGCAGTAGAATGAATGCCCTTGAGCTTGCCCTCCAAAATGGGATTGAGCTTGAAAACGATGTGAGGCCTTCATCTTTTAAAAGAGGTGTTAACCAAAGTAATTAATGACTTTAAGATTTAAGAATTTTCTTCCTTATTCCAGAAAGAGGCAGAGGTCACAGATCAACCAAGTATGGGCTTGTCATGCATGACATTTAAGGATAAATGAAAACATTTTTGAAAAATTAAAGTTTGGTTGTGACAGTTACTGTTCAGTCATTTCTTAAATGTTTACTTACTTTCTTACCTCTACTATCAATTTATTCAAGATAAATGGATACAAAGATACAAAAATTGTTAGTAACCAGTTCTCATTGTTATGGATCTCTTTCAAGCAAGTATTTAAACCTTCCTGAGTCTGGTGTTTTGAGTGGAACTATCAAAAGGAAGGAGTCAGGAAAACAATTCCTTTGGCCTTTGCCTCTCCCTACTTAGCAGACATTCCTATCAAGCACAATGAGTTGTTCCAATGATATTTATTCTTAAACATCAATCTTTTAGAATCCAGGGGTCCAACACTGCTTAAAAGATGCTCTCTTATTGTCAGGGTAGAAAGCCAGTTTGACTTTCTCCTGCTCATTCATACCATTGCCATAACTTAGTTCTAGTTAGAGATTATTTTTAGACGCTTAATATAGTATAAAATACTGTGAGATACAGGCAAGAATAGTTCCCCTCCAAATTAAAGTCTGAAACAGTGAAAATATTTTTTGAGCAGTGCGAACTAAAACTGAAAAATTGTTTCAAGAGGAACGAAATTTTAAACTTCCATGTCCTCTTCAGATTATTATTCTTAATTACCAGATGAAATAATTTAATTCATCTGCTTCAAGACTTATTTTAATTTTATAGTATATTGTCATTTTTTGTGTCAGAATATAGTCTTACAAATACATACTTTTTTTGATAAAACTTATTCCCGGGCCTCCCTTGCAGCATAAGGGGTAAAGCATGGCACTATAAAGCAATCTGCAGCCTCTGCAGCAGGAGTTTGATCCCCAGCTGGCTGGGGAGCAACCCACATGGCGAAGCAGACCTCTCCTGTCTTGCCCACTGCTCCCCTCAGCAGTGTGTTTCAGTCAGTCTGCCTGTTCTGTTTCCCACTCTCTCTGGTGAATCCTCTCATCCCCCTATCCCTGCATCTCTGGCCTGTACCCCAGCTTTTGTATGTATAAATAAATCTAAAAAAAAAAAAAAACCTTATTCCCAATGTATGAATTTGAGAAAAGGAGGTCAAGAGCCAAAACAGTAAGACCAGTGAGTATTGGGGTTGCACATCCCTGGCACTGTTAAAGCCTGTGTATTTTATTACAAACCTACTGTGCTGGGCACAAATGCCTGCATTCACTTCAGCCTCTGGAAATTAAGAGACTGTGCCCCCAGATTATAAAGCTGCCAAAGCAAAGAATGGGTACTTGGTTTGGGTGGGGGTGGGGGGAGTGGGGAATCAGTGTTCAGCCTGCCACATTCTCAATAATAAAAACACAAAGAAGTGATTGACTTCCCAACCTATATTCTTTCAGGTCAGTTTCATCCCTTCCCAGTCCTCCCTCCCACCCCACCCCCACCTGTCATTCCTGCTCCTGCCTCCCTGCCACAGCCAAGGTCCCCGGCCAGCTCCTCCATGGCATTTCAGTGCCACCTGCTCACGCAGGAAAGACACAGCAGCTTTGCACTCTACAGTCTACTCTCCCCACCAGTCCACTCTTCAGACGGCTGCCAGGGGGGTTTGAAGAGGAAGATGTTGTTCCTTAGAATCTCCTGATAGTGTCTCTACTAAGAGAATAGAGTTTCGGTTTCCAATTGCCTCTTCCACTGCCCGCTTCTTTAAATCCATTTCCTACCACAATCAACTGATGCTTGAGTCTGAACCCCTCCAGACCTGGCTGGATGTGGTGCTGAGTGAGGATTGTGCTGCATGTTTGGTTCCTCTCTCTGCTGCTTGGCAGGCAAGACTAGTCCAGCCACCAGAGACCTGTAAAGTGGCTTTTCTCTATGATTTACTTTAGCCAAATTAATCAGGTCTTCCTATGGTTTCTAAAAAAAAAAAGAAAGAAAAAGAAAAACAACTCATAGTATCTATTAGGTGCACACTTTCCGTAGTTTGTTGAAATTGGGATGCATGTGACAGTCACCATAGGTTAAGGGGTCAGTTATGTCCGTTACTGCCTGCTTATGGATATCAGAGACCTGGAGTGAAATCTCGAGAAGCAGTGGAGAGTGCTCTCTTAAGAAAGTCTAAATCAGGAGTTGTATTAAAAAAAAAAAAAAAAAAAAAACCACACACATTAAGGACTCCGAGTTTAAAAGTGATTTGGAGGAAGTAAATAATGATAATGAGCAAGTTTAGGAATATCTTTAGCAATATATGACTTTTCCTTTCTAGTTTACTTATACATAAGTGATATTATTAAAATTAATATCTAAAGGAGACAACTTGTATTAAAGATTTAAAATAGTAATTTTAAGGAAACGAGACAAGCAATGCCAGTAAAAATGTTGGCATAGGGATTTCCAGGGTTCTATCTCTCTACAATAATAACTGGAAAAAAAACTGTAGATTTTTGCAGAATATGAATCTGGTAAAAAAAAATGTACAGCCACACAAGGAAAACACAACGCAGAAAAGCTGCTGCATTGCAATAAGAGATTGGCATTGCCTGCTTGGCATCACCCATATGCCAGATTGTTGGCAGTGGTAAAAATGGCAATGGGAAGACCTAGTGTGGTCAGTGCAGACCCTATTCTCAGCACACTCAGTTTATAACTTTGCACCTGTCCAGTAACTAAGGGTAACAGCATCTGGGCATTGGCTGGAAACACACAAGGACAAAACTATTAGTTATAGCAGCCTAAAGCAATCAACAGAAATAGCAAAATGCCCATGAAGAGTTTGGAAAAGAAAATATATAGGGAATAAAATCTTTCAAAAGCTCCTGCATAGATTGGGGAATCATACACTTTCAGAATGGGTTGCATGCTCAATGAAGGCCTGAGAAGAACGTGAAAACCCCTGATTTCCAGAATTGCCACATTCTGATATTCAAACCATCAGGTCCTGATAAAAATTTATGAGGCAAACAAAGAAACAAGAAAATATGGCCCATTTACAGGGAAGAAGGAAATTAATAGAAAATATCACTGGACATTGGATTTACTAGACAAA